ATAAACAGAAAATCTGTGTCATCTCTGACATTCCATTATTTTATTTTTTGCTTCTAGGTATATAATATGCACAGCTTTGGAGAAGGCTCTGTTAGCAGCCTGGTTGCTTGGAAGTAAGAACAACTGGAATCTCTTTCTAGAATACACATAGTAAAAAGCATGTGTGCTAGCAGTAGCATCTGTACCAGGACATGCCACATAGATAGTAACAGTAACTCCTCTGGATTTTACTGGCCAACTTGCATACCATGTTTGAAAACTATACCTGTGTGAAACAGTATGTCAATCAGCCATTGCTAAGACATCTCTGCATGTAACTAGTATTTGATTGGTATTGAAACACACTTGTACAATCAAATTCACATTAGCTGAAATTTCATGCATAATTATTTCACTTGATAATGCAGCAAACATTCTGCTATATCTTGGGGAAAAATAATGAAGCCAAATATTATCAGAGTGGCTTATATTATTCAATGAATTGATGAAAGATAAAACAGAGTTTTTCAACTGAGAAGATAGTCATGTGGTAGTCAATGGCACCATACCACACACACACACATATATGCTTTAACTGGATTCAGGATGTCACTAAAATGAGTGTTAGTATATAAAATAAGTATGTAGGAATGATAATGATGATCATAGTGGAAATACAGTGAAGGGAATTTAGTGACTTGTTTCAAAATTTCAATATTCATTAGTTAATACTGCAAAAATATTCTTTGAGTTTGAATAGTCACCGTGAAACCAAAATAAATAATAAATAATAAATGCCAAATGCATGCTGGCCTCCATGGAACGACACATAATGCCAAACAGAAAAACATGAAATTTTTAAGAGAGGAGAAAGGAAGAACAGGAATCCAGAAGGAGTCACAGCCAGCTGCTGTCAGGACAAGCAGAATGTGAAGATGCCGGTAAGCCATGAGCAACGTGGCAAGGTATAGATTTATAGAAATGGATTAATTTAAGCTATAAGAACAGTTAGCAAGAAGCCTGCCATGGCCATACAGTTTGTAAGCAATATAAGTCTCTGTGTTTACTTGTTTGGGTCTGAGCGGCTGTGGGACTGGCGGGTGACAAAGATTTGTCCTGACTGTGGGCAAGCTAGGAAAACCCAAGCTACAGTGACTTGTTTCAAAATTTCAATATTTTAGTTAAGACTGCACAAAATATTCTTTGAGTATGAACAGTCACCTTGAAATGCCAAATGCATGCTGGCCTCCGTGGAACCACACATAAAGCCATACAGAAAACCATGAAAATTTTAAGACTTTAATCAATTTTGAAGAATCCTTTCCAAAACAAATACGTCAGATCATTAATCATCATGACACTGTGAGATGTGGTATGCCAAATTAATATATTAAGAATAAGGCTTGAAAGCCAATATAAGTATCTTACATCAGGAACTCATTCATATATATATATATATATATATATATATATATATATATAATAAATCAATTATTTAATTGTTGTCCTTGGAGAAACTTAGTTGGCAAATCAGAAAAAAAATCTACATTAAGATTTAGTTGGCAATCAAGAATCACATTTATTCAAATTAAGGCTGATAGGGAAGCTTTCGTATAGACAGTCACACTGTATGGACAATCAGCTAGATATATGATCAACCCCCAGTTATTACAGGGCTGGTTTTGTCTTTTGATAATTTCAACCAGATCTCTGGTTAAATTATGTATTTATCTTAGTCCACTTTCAAATTTGTTGCTTCTACTCTATCTCAATTTGGGTGGGAGGGAGAAATAAATCAGGAGTTCTCTTGGAAATCTACAAGATTACCACTGTATTTGCTTTCCATTTGCTGGAACTGAGATCAATCCTCTTATAGGTTCATATTCCAATCTCAATACGAATGCAAATACTTCTTCAATCAAAACAAAGAGAGCAAATAAATTTGTCAGCAGTTCAGTTTCTTAGACGTCAGGTTCTGGTTGTACTCCAGGTCTCAGATGGTCCTGGGTATAAAGTCCAACTCTGCATGGACAAAGACAAGGCAGAAAGCTCCTGACAACTCCAGGAGAAGGAGGCCTTGGAATTTAGAAACACTAGGGAGTGTTTGAGTCCTGAGATGATAGGTCTTAGACCACTGTTCCTGTCACCTGTGCAGGAAGTACAATCATGTTTCTGAAGCTTCTGGATGCCTCCCAAGCAGATCAAGCTTATCCACTGTCTTATTTATCCAGAGGGCCTGATCCAGTTGAGGGCTCCATTGCTTTTTCATGATTTTCTTTCAAGGCTTTATTGTTTTCTTCCAGGGCTTTATTGTTTTCTGGACACACACACACACACACACACACATATATATATATGTGTGTGTGTGTGTGTGTGTGTGTGTGTGTGTGTGTGTGTGTAATCTTTGACATAACTGAAAACTTCTGTATACATAATGAGGTGATTATGGGTGTACATTTTTAGCATTGACCTTTTGAAACTTAAAGGCCTTTTAATATTTTTTTTTTTTTTTTTTTTTTTTTTTTTTTTTTTT